CTGTCAATAGTTTAACGTTCTACTGTCAGAATATATTACTATTTAGCAGTCTGAAGACTCAATGCTACTACTGCTAATAAATATTAATAAATCTTTATTTTTAAAGGAATAATCACATCTGTTTTCAAAAAATAAAAGAGTTTAATTTTCATTTGATTATTTAGGATAAATTAAATTAATGTTTTATGCCTTCATCTGATTACCAGAAAAATGAAGAACATTTTATTGGGCCCTCTTATTGTTTAAAAAAGGACCCTATACAAAAAAAATATTAGGTTTAAAATACAGGCATGTGGTTCTTAATTTCTTTTTATTAATTCACCATTCGTAAACTGATGTTTACTGTTCATTTTTTAGAAATATCAATAGCATTTGTATTAAAACTATATTCACTGAATGTAATCAAAAAAATTGAGAATCGAATCGAATCGAGAGCTTGCGAATCGAAATCAAATCGAATCGGGACATCTGAATCGATACCCAGCCCTAATATTTATTTAACTATATATTTAATGTGTCATGGGACACATAGTTTATCATGCTCAAAAGTCGTTCATTTTTATCTACACTGTTTTATGTCACTGAAAACAAGATCGGTGCTAATTGACAACAGAGTTTAATGTCGCTCTGATGCATTGACAGATTTTTTTATTTTTTTTTACAGAAACTGGTAGTGTTGATAAATTATTATCACTAAAATATGTTAAATATATTAAAATTAATTAAGCAGTTTAATCTCAGTTTACATCTGTATTTTTTTTTATCTCACTAAGGTCTGTGTTGGTATTTAGTACCTCACATGTTGTGTGTCTGCCTCTATAAGGTGTTTCGGCGGTAACTGATGTGTTCAGCACTAGCTTTGGGAATTGGCTCCCTTGAGGCGGCGGTTAAATGGATGGTGTTTTGCGTCTACGAGGTGGAACTAGCGAGGTGGGTCTGGCAGTGATGGGTGGGGGTGTTTTGTGTGAGCGTAAAAGCGTCGAAGGGGCAGCACTTCATCAGAGAAGTGACTATATTTCATTACAGTCGCTGATGAACTGTATCAGTGGCGCTGTCTGTTACTGAGTGATCCAGGGGAATAAACTCCCATTGCACATCTAAATGTGTGTGTGTGTGTGTGTGTATTAAAAACGAAAAGCAAAGGAAAGCATACTGTAGGACAGAGTGTCCTCGGCACTTTGGGCTGCATCTCTCAATATTTTTAATCAAGTGGGAAGCCGCAGTGGGCTCCATCCAGATGGGCCTTTATCAATTTATTAAATCAAAAAAACGATGTGCAGGGCTGCTGGCCCCCACAACATCCATCACTTGCAGGAGCGCATTAGAGAGCTTTCTGCTGACTGAATCCCAGACTCAGCCCTGGCTCCCGTGGAGAGGAGAAATACACCTGCCATATGGGAAACGGGTGATATTCACAGCAGTAAGGTGCGTTCTTTGGTGTTTTCTTGGCTTTCGTTTAAAAAAAAAAAAAAAAACTTCCTGGACTGCTGAATGTAAAGTGATTGTTCACATCAAAATGTGAATTCTGCCATCATTTGCTCACCCTGCTAACTCACACCTGTTCTTACAAACCTGTATGAAAATGCTATGGTAAAAACCTGTTGATTGGTTAACAGTAAGTTTACTTATGTCCAGTAAAAAAAAAAAAATTTAATGGGACATTTAAAGGGGTCATATGATGCTGCTTTTTTTTTTTTTTTTACATACAATAAAATACTGTTTAAATGCACAGGTCTTTGAAGGTGAAAATGAACTACTCCGCATCATTTACAGTGAAAAACCATAAAATGACATTCATCAAATTGCCCGTGTGACGCTTCACATTTTGTGTTTTTAGATTTAAGTAATTGTTTCTTCTTAATTTTTTATGTACATGAGTTTTTTTTTTTGTTAAATTAATATTTATTACATTCTTTTAGTGTAGTGTGTGTTACCATGATGGTGTTTTGTCCAAAACATTACCTTTCATTGTATGGACAGAAAATAACTGAGGCGTTTCTCAAATGTCTTTTTGTGCTCTGCATAAAGGAAGTGATACAGGTTTTTGAATGACATGTGGGTGAGAAAATAATGACAGAATTTCCATTAATGAGTGAACTACCCCTTTAATGTTGCTTTCTGCTGAAGGTGTAGCAAATTAGCAAGAAAAGCCCTCTATCTTCTCTTCTTCTTTATGTTCCTGACGGCGGTGCCGCTAAACAGCTGTCAGCAGACACCTGGCAACTGAGAGGTGTTTTAACATGATGGGCCACTATTGAAAGATCTTTGCTCCTGTGAACATGCGTGTGCACAAACGCCACTCGTTTCTCACAGTGCTGCGTGTTGTTTTAGCATAAGCTGTGGGGCAGGATTTAAAGATGCCTAAGTGCATTTGAGTTGGCCTGCGAGCTGTAACTTGTGGCTGTTAAGTAACGGCTTGCGTGTGACATGAGGAGGGGGAGGTTGCATGATTGGCCGGATCACAGAGCGGTTTAGATGACATCTAATGGCGCAGTCCAAAAGTGAAGTATGTGTGTGGATGTTTCAGAGGGGTTGTTTGGGATTATTTGGTGTTAGACTGAGTAAGGGCTGAAAGCACTTTTTGGTGTTTGTGTGTTGAGTGTGTGTGTGATCAGGATGATGGGGATTATTAGCTATGAGCTGGAGTGCTGCTGGTCTGAGATGGGCTTTCACCTTCAGAAGTCCTGCCGGGTTTACAGTCTCTCCCTATAGCAATTTTGGCACCGATACAGCACACACGGCATCTTTGTGTTTGAGCCATTTTCTGCAGTGAAGATGCCGTTTCTCACTGTGGCATGCGGTTTTTGCGCTGGTCTCTTTCAGACAGGCCCTGCAGGATGTGAGAGGAAGACGCAGTGGGTCTCGTGTTAGCTGTAGCTCATAGGACGAACAAAATGTTCACAACTCTGTGATCTTGACTTCATAACTTACCCTATTTTTTTCTCTTCCACATAAACACATAGAGCAAGTATTAATAACACCAAGTGGTTGTGAACTTATGTTGTTTCCTGAAAGAGTGATGGTTTCTGTTGCGTGACAAACCACTCATGTTAAACTGTTTAAACTGGTGTTTACTGTTTTCAGCAATTGGATCTTGGATGTTCAAACTCAAGCTGTCGTGGTTATGACATGACGCCTTATGTCCAGCTGCATTATTAATATACTAACAGTCTGCTCTAGCACATATATAGCTACGTTTTCAAAACATAAGGTCCATAATTCTTCATGGTTGATTTTTCAGAATTCAAATTTTATGTTACTCTTTTTGGCATAATTTTATAGTGCACAGTTTTACATAAAATAATAATTTACTCCAACAAAGGTTTGTTTGAGTTCATTACAAGTGAACCTCTCTGGGCAATGGCTGTGACATACTTTTGATTACCATTTTTGATGCTGTACATTTAATTAATTTAGGCAAAATAGTAGAATTTGAATATATCGGCCATAATTAGTTGTCAACCATAACATGAAATTAATTATCGACTTGCACAATCGAATTGCATGTATTGTCTAGAACAGGGGTGCCCAAACTCGGTCCTGGAGGGCCGGTGTCCTGCAGAGTTTAGCTCCAACTTGCCTCAACACACCTGCCGGAAAGTTTCTAGTATGCATAGTAAGAGCTTGATTAGCTGGTTAAGGTGTGTCTAATTGGGGTTGGATCTAAACTCTGCTGGACATCGGCCCTCCAGGACTGAGTTTGGGCACCCCTGGTCTAGAATCTGTATTGTTTGACTATCCTTAATTTACAGAAATACATTTACATTTAAATAAACGTCATTTAAAAAGTAGCCACATTTATACAGAACAGTTCAAAAGTTTGGTGTCAGTAAGATTAAAAAAAAAATGTTTTTCAAGAAGTCTCTTATGCTCACAAAGTCTGCATTTAATTAATCAAAACAAATTTTAATTTAAAATTACTGTTTGAATATATTTTAAAATGTAATTTATTTCTGTGAAGGCAAAGCTGAATTTTCAGTAGCCATTACTCCAGCCTTCAGTGTCGCATGATCCTCCAGAAATCATTCTAATATGCTGATTTGGTGCTCCAAGAAACATTTATTATTATTATTATTATTATCACAGTGTGTCCGCGGGGTATTAAAAGGTCAATTTAGAGAAAATTAAGGCCATTAAAAAGTCTTAAATGCCATTTTCCAAGGTATTACATTTTGTATCATCTTTTCATTATGTATATTTGTCCGAATATTGGGGTTCTGTGTAGTTTATTTTTGGAATCCCACAAGATTTGACTTCATCTGTTACAGCGCTCACTGACTGACTGCGCCGTTGCGTGATAGCGCGGGGCTTGTTGATCCCGCTCTCGCTGAA